TCACTTATTGAAAGCATTTTTTCTTTATTCTCCATGGTAGGTTTGTTGTTGATGTTGTTTTGGTAGATTTATTTCTTGGTTCTCTATTCTATTCCATTAATTTATGCATTTGTTCTCATGTCAATAACATGCTGTTTTGGTCATTATAGTTTTGTGGTTTGGTTTGAAATCATGTGTTATGATTAATGTAGCTTTTCTTTTCTTTGTTCTCATGGGATCACTTTGAATATTCAAGGTCATTTAAGGTTTTTTGTTTTTTCTTTTATTTTTGAGATTATAATGTAATTATATAGTTTCTCCCTTCCCTTTCCTCCCTCCAAACTCTCCCATATACCTCTCCTTTCTTGCTTCCAAATTTGTGACTTCTTTTTTCATTAATCGTTGTTACATGCACATATGTCTGTATATATACATACACATACACAACAATCAGGCCTGATCATTTGATATTGTCTAACCAATTGAGGAGCTCTTCCCTGGAGAATGCTCTCACATTCCTTAGTTGCCTGTAGTTCTTTGTATAGGGTTGAGGCCCATGCTCTTTTCCCTATCCACTTTGGCATGTCTATTGTTGTCCTTGTTCATTTTGTGTTTAGGCAGCCATGTTGGTGAGACATTACTAGGAGATGCAATCTCACAGCAATTTCCTGATCCTTTGGCTCTTACAATCTTTCTATTCCCTTTTCTGCAAAGCTCTTTGAAACTTAGCTGTGGGGCTGTACTATAGATGTATTACTTGGGACTGAACTCCACAACTATGCGTTTTAATTGGTTGTGGGTTTCTGTAATGGTTTCTGTCTATTACAAAGAAAAGTTTTCTTGATGAGGAGTGAGGAATACGCTTACATGTGGGTATCAGGACAGATATTTAGAATGTAATTAGAGATTATACTAATTTAATGAAGTAGTGGTTGTATGTTCTCCTCCAAGATTCATGATCAAGGTTTTTTGGTTCCATCATAGTCTACAAGTCTACAATTTTTTGGAGTTCTATAAAGAATGTCATTAGTATATTGATAAGAAGTGCATTGAATTTGTAGCATGACTATTTTAGCAATATTAATTCTTCCAACACAAGAACATGGGCTATCTTTTCATTAACTGTGTATCATATTGAATTTCTTTCATTAATGTTTTATAACCTTCATCACAAGAAATCATTGACTTCCTTAGTCAAATTTGTTCCTAGGCATTTAGTAGCTAGTATGGATGAAATTGCTTTTTTAATTTCTTCTCTTCAAACTCATTATTGATACATAAAATGGTATTGATTTTTGCATGTTGATTTTTATCATGCAGCATTACTGACACACCATTATTATTTCATTTAGCTAACTTTAAAATATTTGTGACTTATCATGCTATCAACTTAGTTTGGTGCTAAGTACTATGAAATAGATAAAAACTTTTAAAGTATGTAGTACAAAAAGTTGTGTAAAGAATGAGGCATATTTTATAATCTGATATAGTATATTCATATTCTCAAAAACAATTCAATCATAGCATGCTGCTTTGTGTATAAGAGATAAGAAAAAAGAAGTGTGTCTATATTATATATGATATATATAATATAGACATACTCATTCATAAGTCTGTGGTATTGTATTCCCCCAAATATTGTGCATGCTAATAAACTTATCTGGGGTCAGAGACAGAGCAGCCACAATATTAAACATAAAGGATAGGCAGTGGTAGCACATGTCTTTAATCCTAGCACTCCAGAGGCAGAAATCCATGTGTTCAAGGACACAGACAGGCATGGTGACTCATTATGCCTTTAATCCCAGAAAGCAAGCCTTTAATCCCAGGGAGTGGTGGTAGAAAGTAGAAAGGTATATAAGGCATGAGGACCAGAAACAAGAAGCAACTGGCCTGGTTAAGCATTTGGCTAGTTAAACTTTCAGGCTTCTAGCAGCACAGTTCATCTGAGAGCCATTCGGATATGAGGACACAGAGGCTTCCAGTCTGAGGAAACAAGACAAGCTGAGGATCCGGTGAGGTGAGGTAGCTGTGGCTCGTTCTGTCTCTCTGATCTACCAACATTGACCCCAATACCTGGCTCAGGTCTGATTTTATTAATACGACCTTCTAAGATTCATGCTACATAAGTCTATATGTATCTATGTACATATGAGAGAGGGAGAAAGCAAATGCAGTATGATGTCAACAAATGAAAAGATATGCAGGGATTGAATTTTATAATCCTTTACTTTCCTGAACATTAAAAAAAATTAAATAAAAATATATGGATGAGGGAAGTGTATTACACTATCTACAGAATTTCTGGAAAAGTAAGAGAAAGGAAACCAAAAAATGAACTGCCAGAGCTACAGGCATAATTTCACAACAAAATACACAAAGTGAGGACAGTGCCCTATATGACTCAAAACCTTAGAAGTCAGAGCATATTGCAAAGGGTGGATTCCATTCATTCAGATAGCTAAATGGGATCACCAACATGAAGGGGAAAGTACTATGACTCTTATATCACCCTGAGAAGAATGTCCTATCAGACTAATGGGACTGCATCTATTTCCTTGATAAGTCTGTCTCTACAGTGATAAGGATGAGTCACCAGTCTGCCATAGCCTGATGACATTATTTCTCAATTCAAATTTGATGTAATCATCTTCAACAATAGCCAGTTATTGAACGATTTTGTGTGCTCATTACGGCAAATACAAAGATGAATACGACCCTTGAGGGGCTTAGAATCCACTTGGAAAGTAAGAAGATACACTGAAAGATAAATAACAATAAAAGGTAGCACATAAAAACCAAAGAGGAGTTCAGACAAGTACTGAAGTAGGTCAGAGGAGGGGCAGAGATAGTCATGACAGGTTTCCTTCAGGAAATGAACAAGAGAGAAGAGTCAGATTGGCAAAAAAGCAAGGACATAGTTTGGGGCTACTATGCAGAGGAAGTGGAAGACTATGAGCCAAGCTAGTACAGGGATCTGCAAGTGGAGGGGTCATAAGGAAGACAGGCATTTCTAGGGGAGAATCATGTAGAAGTTGTAGACAATGAGATGAGGTAACTAGGTGGCCTTGAAAAGCCTTGACATCAGCGTCAAATCTGAAGAAGTTAACCATTAGGTTAACTGAGCTTGCCAAAACTCAGTTCTCTCTATCTCTGGTCTCTAATTCTTTCTCAAACATCTGATCTTTATTGGCTCCTTCCCATTTCTTCAAGGTACACAGACAATTTCCTCCATTTTCATTGTTTTTCTTTGGTGTTTTTAATGTTGTTTTTATATTCCTGTTTCCAAATAAATTTTCTTAACATGCAGATATATTTATTTGACTTGGGTGCTTCTTTTACTTGCTTATTTTTCAGTTTGTTATTGTGTGTCAAATCCTCTTGCAGCATAAGCAGCGTTCTTTCCTAGGTTTCTAGAGGCTTTTGGCCATCAAATCAACAAGCTTATTCTCAGTATTCATTTACATTGACACTTCTGTTATTAAAAGCATAAAGCAGTAAAACAAAAGACAGTCTTAATAAGGCCCTTGATACCATGCATGGGATGAAATGTACCTAGTCTCAGCTATTCAAGAGACTAAGGCAGGAGGATCATTGGAACCCACTTGAGTTCAAGGCCAGCCTGGGTAACATAGCAACCATGAATTGGACGGGATGTTTAAGAAACTAAGACTAGAGAGGTGCTTTCTCTAGCTAATAATAGGTATCTCTTATAAACATATGAATAACTAGATGTTTTCTTCCAGAGAGTAAGAATGAGGCCAATTTGTCTGTTTGCCCGATTTTCATTCACCATTCATTGGAAGGGCTTGTCAGTGAAACCAGGCAAGGTGGGGGAGGGAGAGATGGCATACAGATTGAAAGAAATAAAAACCATTTCCATTGCTAATGACATGGTTGTATACATAGAAAAAAATTAGAACAATTTGCAAAACATAGTAGGTTTGATGGGTGAAGTTAGCACATTCAGATGTTATAGTACCAATGTACAAATTTTGACATGTTAGTTATGAATCATTGAAAAATAAAATTTAAAGAAGACATTTTTCAGTAACATACAAAACTATGACATAATTAAGGATAATTTTAACAATTATGCAAATGATCATATACTAGATAGTGCAAAACACTATCAAGGGGAATTTAAGATGTAGATAAATGGACTGACAGACTCAACGGTATTGTTGTTGGGACATGAGTTCTTTTTAAGTTGGTCTATATTCAACACATCCCAATTAGCTTCTCAACATAGCATTTTGAAGAATTGGTGCTCAAATTCTAAAAGGTGTGTGACAAGGCCAGATGCTAGAATACTTGGAATAATCTTGAACATTAACAAAAAAATAAGGCAGGAACACATAAACTGCCTGATTTCAAAGTACTCTTTACAGCTCTTATCAAACGAGTGTGAGAGTGAAGGTCAGTTGACTAGGAACAGAAGGCCAGTGAGATATACTTGCTGTATAAGGCTGGTGACCCAAGTTTGATCCCTGGAACCCAGGAAAAGGTAGGAGGAGAGAACAACTCTACAAAGTTGCCCGCTGACTTCCACATGTGCACTATAGCACATTTGTGCTCACACATACATTACACACACACACAATGAAGATGATGACAAAATGTTTAATGGTCCTGCCTCAACTTGCCATGCTTTGTTTACTCCCATGGAGGCTTTACCCTTTCTGAGGAGTATATGGGGGAGTAGAAAGGAGGTGGGGGGAGGACAGGATGAGAGGAGGGAGGGAGGGGAAACTGTGGTTGGCATGTAAAATAAATAAAAAATTTAAATAAAAAGGTCTAGATTGACCCATACATATATGGTCAACCATTGTCTGGCAAAGGGGTCAAGGCAATTGTGTTAGGGCAAATATATTTTCAACATATGGTTCTAGAGTGATTAGACATCCTTTAAAAACAAAACAAAACCAGGAACTCCATCTTTACCTGATGCTATACAGAAAATCTCAACTCAAATTTTACCTGATGCTATACAGAAAATCTCAACTCAAATGGTTATAGACTCAAAGGTAAGAGTTGATACTCTGAATCTGAAAAGAAATAGCTTCATCGGGGTTAATGCTCACACTCAGTTCTTTTCCATTAAAGAAGTCATTCAGAAACTTCTGAATCTTGGGGATCCTGGTAGAACCACCCACCAAGACAGTATTATGGTTCTGTGACTTGTCTATTTTGGCATCTCAAAGGGACTTTTCTACAGGGTAGAGTGCCATGGAACAGATCAGCATTTAAGTCTTCAGATTGAGGACAGGTAATAGAGGTATAGAAGTCTATTCCCTCATAAGAAAAAATCAATCTCAACACTGGCCTCGGTGCTGGAGGAGAGGGTACATTTAGTCCATTTACAAGCAGTACAGATAAGGGACAGCTCTCTTGTTCTCACTGATGTCCTTCTCATACTTGCATTTAAACTCAGCAATAAAATGGTAGACCACTAGATTTTCAATCTTCTTTACCCAAGTGGGTATCTCCAGCTCTAGGTTTGACCTAAAAAAATCTATAATCAATAGTGAGAATTGACACATCAAAAATACCACCTCCCAGATAAATAGATTTAACACATTACTTTCAGCTCCAACTGTTGTATCTAAGCCGTAAGTCAAAGCAGCAGCAGATTCATTGATAATTAAGCACACTGAGGCCCCCAATAACTCCAGCACCTTTTATTGCCTACTGCTGACAGTCATTGGTAACAGTCTTCCCAAGATAGGCTTCTCCAAATTTCTTCATCTTTTTTGAAACCTGTGGTGGTAATCTAATTGTATTGAAATATTATTTTGATTTGTACTGAAATATTAATTTTGTTGTATGTTAATAAATAAAGTTGTCTGGGGGTCAGAGCTATTAGAGCCATAGCAAGAGTGTGGCGGTGGTGGCACACGCCTTTAATCCCATAGATATCTGTGTGTTCAGGGTCAGAGCT